GCAACCAGAGCAAAGGTGGGTTCTCCACCCCATAGCATTGCCCAAGGTGAATTCGTGGAAATTGGAAAACAATGCAGTGGCTTCAGATGGAAAGGACGAGCCCTCGGACTGATTGGTGCCGAGGCCGTCAGCGCACGAGGGACATCTGGAGCCCAAGTGGAAGATGTAGATTTAGGTCAACCACTGCGCCGACGAAGCTGAGGAGCCGGGCCAGGTGCACGACGATGATAGTTTACGCTCGCTGTGATTCTGACTGTGCACAATCAACATGCTAAACGGCTGGGCTGTGACAGGGAGCCGCGAGATAAAGCATGCAGGGCCTTGCCAGGCCCCATCTCATCCAGTCACGTAAATCTGCACCCCGCCGTGTTTGAAGGGTTGGCTGGGCGACGCGGTAGCTAACCGTGCCGGCACCGCGTCAGCACAGACGGGCCCGAGGACATGACGGCACCGAAAGCGATGATGACGATAATGGTGATATTGATGATGATGGTGATGATGATTGCGATGCTGATGATGCGGGTGGTGATGATGATGCTGCTGATGATGATGATGATGATGATGATGATGGTGGTGATGGTGATGCTGATGATGCTGGTGATAGTAAGAATGTTCATGATACTGATAATGGTAATGATCAGCTCTGGCCAATATTAGGAAGGTACGCGGCCAATTTATCTGTTCTGTTTCGCTTGATGAGATTTGAGGACCGGCGACTGGGGGCGGTCCGCTCTGCTCACCCAGGCTACGTGCGATCTCCACGGTGTGTTCAGCTTACGACGCGTTCCATGATCTAAAGCCATCGGGACGAAGTCGGGCCACCGCTACGTCGCGTCACCCAGCCCGTGGATATGCGCGATGTTCGCATATGGTGGTCGAGTCCCACAACTGGAGAGTTCTGTCCTCCCCAGGGTGGGTGTAGGGTGGGCGAATGGCGATGGCGGGCGGGAGGGCGGGGGGCTGTCCCCCCCTCCCTCCCTTTTCGGTGCCTCCCGCCGCTCTTCCGCGTGATTCCCCCATCTGTCCTACTCGCTGCGCGCTCAGGGGGCGCTGCCTCCTTGCGCGCGCATGCCACTGGTGCCTTTGGGTAAGCTCCCTATGGGGTCACCAAGCGGGTGAGGAGTGTGCCGAACTGGTTGACATGCGGAGAACAGAGGCCGAGGAGGGAGGAGGGGGAGGAGGGGGTGGGAGGGGCGCGGGGCGCTGTCTGTTCAAAGCGGGGACCCAACACCACAGGATGGTCGGGAAAAAAGCGGAATGCTTTTCGGTATGTGTGGCTTCTGGGGGCCTTCACCGGGGCTTCGACTCGGGACCGCAGCGTCCCCGACGACCCGTTCCTTGGAGGGCGCGGCGACCCAAGGGCGTGGCAGCCTTTTTCGCGCCTGTGGGAGAAACTGCACGCTGTGGCGGGACTTGCCGTAGTCAGCTGCTGGAATACGTGCGGTACGATGCTGCATGTTGCGTTGCCGAAACAAGTTTGCTGTTAACAGCGGCGTCGTGCGGGCTGACAACGTTTTTCGTTTAGCAGGATATGACTGCGCCGGATCGCCCGCGGGCAGCGTCCAGATGCATTAACTGGATGCACAAGGGGACCGCGGGCATCCAAGGTCGAACGATGACCGAATGCGGGTTGACCGTGCGGCCTCGCGGACACGCAGCGTTCGCCCAGATCGACAACGTCACGCCATGACAGGGCGATCGTTTTTGGATGGCCCTGGGGGTCCCTGGGGCCATCCAAAACACCCGTCGGCCTCCCCCCCCTCTCCCCCAGGGCAGGGCCATCCCAAAATGCCAGCCCCCCCCCGGAGCCATCCAAAAACCGGGCCCGCGCGACCCCCAAAAACCTCACGCCACAAATTTTGCCAAAAATGACACCCGCAGAGTACTTCGCAGAGCACTTCGGATTCCATCGCCGATTTCCCTTGCAATTCTTCTAAGTGGAACCAACACTTATGTAAGAAGCTTTTGGCGGCGAGATTGGCGGCCGTTGCCCGGGGCGCTCGTGACGCCCCTGGCGGGGGACGGGGGGAGGGGGCGGAAGGGGGGAGGGGCGCGTGGAAGCCGAGGGAAAGGGTGGAAGGCGAGGGGCGGGCGAAGGAGGGCGGAAGGCAAGGGCGGAGGGCGAGGGAGGGGGACTGACAGGGCGCGAGGGCGGAGGAGAGGGCGGGGGAGGGTGGAGGGGGAGAGTGGGCGGGGATGAAGGGAGGGTGGGGGGGGCTAGGGGGCGCGGGGCAGCGAGCAGGGGGAAAGGAGGAAGAAGAGGGGGAGGAGGAATATCAGAAAAGGGGGGAGGGGGGCAGGAAGACGGAGGCAGGGAAACGAGGGGGAAGAAAGGAGAGCCCGGGGGAACCGAGGAAGGGGGCCTGGGGGAACCGCGGAAGGGAGGGGAGAAGAAGGCGGAGAAGGGCGAAGGGAGGTGGTAGGGGGAGCGGAAGGAGGCAGGCAACAGGAGAGAAAGCGCAGGAGGAAGGATGAGGCAGGAAAGGGGGCCACCCATGCTCCGAAACACCGAGCGCTCCGAGCGCTCCGACTTCTGCCCGCGGGGATTGCCGGGATCGCAGTGATGCGACGGCGCACGACGGGCGCCTGTGTCAGCGAGGCGGGCAACTTCCGCAGGCTAGACGAATTCGCGGGCCAGCTCGTACAGCTGAAAGCGTGAGAAGTTGCATGCGGGAGAATTTGCATGCGGGAGAAATTGTATGCGGGATCGGAGAAGGTGTTTGCGGGAGAAGTTGCCTGCGTCAGAAGCTGTATGATTTGGAAGGTCCTAGGCGTAGCGGGAGAAGCTGTATGCGCTGTTTTGCGCGCGCATGCGCGCCTCGCTATCGCCATGCCCTTGCGTCGCTGGCGCGGCGCTCGCGCGATTTAAGCAGCTGCGGGCGCGCTCAAGTACTGGATGGAACGGCGTAGCACGCGTACATTGTTCGCGACGCCACCATCATCAATTCAGATGTCCCACTGCCAGCTTCTGCGTGCGTTCCCTACCTAGGCTCTGCCTAGAAGGGTTCTTACTCTCTTAGCTTAAAGGGACCGGGCAGTGGAACACGCCCCGGGCGGTTCCCCCAGTCCCCTGGGAGCGGTTCCCCCCAGTCCCCTGGGAGCTTTAGCTTTAGCTTTAGCTTAGCTTTAGCTTAGCTCTAGCTTAGCTGTAGCTTAGCTTTAGCTTAGCGTTTCGTTTAGCTTTTCGCTTAGCGTTTAGCTTAGCTTTAGCTTAGCTTTAGCTTAGCTTGAGCTTAGCTGTAGCTTAGCTTTAGCTTAGCTTTAGCTTAGCTTTAGCTTAGCTTTAGCTTAGCTTTAGCTTAGCTTTAGCTTAGCTTTAGCTTAGCTAGCTTAGCTAGCTTAGCTTAGCTTAGCTTAGCTTAGCTTTAGCTTAGCTTTAGCTTAGCTTTAGCTTAGCTTTAGCTTAGCTTTAGCTTAGCTTTAGCTTAGCTTTAGCTTAGCTTTAGCTTAGCTGTGGCTTAGCTTTAGCTTAGCTATAGCTTAGCTTTAGCTTAGCTTTAGCTTAGCGTTACTGTTACTACTAATGCTGCTTTCCTAGGGGTTCCAACTCCTAGGTAGGGTCGCACTGGGATAATTTTTTGTCCGATTGGGGCCAGCAGCAGCGCCGCGGGTTCGTGACGAGTTCCGCTGCGCTCGTCTGCGCAAAACGGCATTCGCGCAGAAGGCGCCGCACTGCTGGCCGAAGGGTAACAGACCCTTGGATCGGAACACATTGGATGACTGTGTTGCGCATTCCGGTCGTGGTTGAGTGATGGGGACGATGTTGTTGATGTTGATGTTGGTGATGGTGCAAGCGATGATCATGATAATGAGGATGAAGGCGAGGATGTTGCTGATGATGATGATGTTGATGATGATGATGATGATGATGCTGATGATGATGATGATGATGATGATGATGATGATGATGATGATGATGGCAGTTGCGACGGTGGTGGTGGTGGTCCTGATGATGCTACGGCTGCTGATTGTGACCATACGGTCGGCGATGGTGACGATGTACGTTACGATGAGGAGAATGGAGGTGATTACGGTGCTTGTCACGATGTTCAGAGTGACGACGATGATGATTAGGTTGCTGATGTTCATGAGGACGTTGGTGATGATGTGCTGTGGTGATGATGATGGTGATGGAGGGTGGTGATGGTGGGGAGGCGGAGGATATGGAACAGGAGGATGAGGAGTGTCAATGTAAACTCAAAACGCATCAACGATGTTGCAACACACCATGTCTCCAAGGACCCTCTTCGCAGGCCCCATACACGGATGGATTGCCATTGCGGGGCATGTGTCGTCGGGGGACAGCCGTCTGAAAATTCCCAACCGTGTCAAAGCACCAGCCATTGGGTTTCACCGCCAGGAATCAACGTATACTGTTGCCTCGTCGAGACCATGAATCGTGCCAGAACACCGTTCGTGGAAACCCAAGACCGCGAATCAATCTGACTGCTGCGCCCTGACAGTCCCAATTCGTGCCAAAATACTTGCTGGGCACGTCAGACATAATAATCCTTGAAACGGTCGTCAACTTTAAGACGAAAGCGCGCGGCGCTGAGGCGAGAACCCTATTTGAAAACGAACCACCCTTTCATCCGTGACCGTGAAGCCCTTGCTGCCTTTTGAGACGAATGCGCGCGGCGCCACGTCGGAAGCCACATTTTCAAAAAGACCCGCCCTGCATCCGTGCAGCTCTTGCAAACTGTTGGAACGAATGTGCGCGACGCACAGGCGAGAACCACATTTTGGAAACCATCCGCCTTTCATCCTCGAAAGCAACCTGTTTAGTCGCAGTGCCAAAAATGGTGAGGATGTGGCAGGCGAACCGCGTGGCCCGCTCTACCAAGACGTCTCGGGGTGCGGCAGGGAGGAGCTCTCTTGAAGGATATCGATTGAGCAGGAGCAGGAACATGAGCAAGAGCAGGAATAGCAGGCGGAGGGGAGGGAGGAAGGACGACAATGATGGGAATGATGGGGAGGGGGGGCTTGAGGGGGCCCAGAAGGCCCAGACGGCGCGCTCGGCAGCGACGACGGTCAATTGTCCAGCCCCGTGGACGTGCTGGTGCCGCCGTCCAACGGCTTCCTTGCTCAGCCAGAGGTCTCGGCGATCTCCGCGGATGGCCTCACGCTGGCGTACTCGTCCGCGTCGGACGACGGGAAGGCGTGGGTTGTCGTCATGAACGCTTCGGATGCGGCTCTATAGAGGGGCCAGAAAGCCGCACGACTATGAGATCGGACGTCCGCGGACGGCAGATTTCCACCAGGTCCGGAACCCCTCCCCGCAATCTCCGCGTCCAGAGCGCTTCGCGGGCCATGGGGTGGCGCGGTGAGGAACAGGAGGAGGAAGAGGAGGAGGAAAAGGAGAAGGAGAAGGAGGAGGAGGAGGAAGCGGACTAGGAGGAGGAGAAGGAGGATAAGATACGAGTATGATGATGAGGAGGAGGAGGAACAGGAGGAGGAGCAGGAGGAGGAGCAGGAGGAGGAGGAGGAGGAGGAGGAGGAGGAGGAGGAGGAGGAGGAGGAGGAGGGAGGAGGAGGAGGAGGAGGAGGAGGAGGAGGAGGAGGAAAGCCACTGGGGCTCAGGCCATTTTGGCGGAGCACAGGGCTCAGGCGCCGCGCCCCCCTCACGATAGTTGCTCGTGAACGCTCCCGCGGCTAGGCCGGCGGCTGAGCACCAGAGGGCGCGCGCGACCCACGGCGCGCTCGGGGCGCCGCAGGGGCTCCCCCGAGCCAGCCTGGCACAAGAGGCAGCGGGCGCAGCGAGGGCGAGCTCGCCTTCTCCTCAGCGTGTTCCAGGCCAAGCGCCTCCTCGAATCGCACCATAGCACGATGGGTGGAGGTACTTGGACATGCAGGCAGTGCGAGACAAGAAATCCTAACTCTCAGTGGACATGCTCGTGTGGCAACGTGTGGGCTCCTCGCCCCGATCCCACCAGACGTTCGGCCAGCAGAAAGAGGGACCAGAAGAAGTCCGCCAGCATAAGAGAGTTGATCGCACAGATCCCTGTTGCAGCACCTGATGAAGCGATTGCCAACATCACGGTGTGGGAGCCGCCGCCACCAGAGGCGGACGAGCTGAATATCTACAAGTCAAAGGCCCAGTCGAAGCTCCAGAAGTTCGCCAACCTCCTCGTCGCGGTCCGTGACGCAGGGAAGAAGGATCCAGCCCTGGAGTTCGACATAGGGGTGCTCAAGTACATGATGAGTGCCTGCAAGGGCTCAGAGAAGCAGTTGCATGAGTTGAAGGCCCAGCTCATCAGCGCCAAAGAAAGGCTCGGCAAGATACGAGCTAAGGTTGAGGAGCTGCTAGACGAGGAGGCGACGCTCTGCCGGATGGTGCAGAAGCTACAGAACTCCATCCAGCAGTTACGAGAAGCGGAGGATGCACCAGATCATGATGAAGACTGGTTGATGGCCCCGCCAGGAGGAAGCGAGCGTGGTCTCAGGGCAGCCAGCAGTGCCCAGAGGCCGTGGGTGCAGGCGGCGGCTGAGAGGGCGGCAGCACAGGCGGAAGCAAAGGCTCAGTCAGCCAAGGCCGCGGCGGAAGCAATTGCCAGCAGAGTGCCGCCGCCGCCGCCACCAACGCCCAATCAGCCCATGGCACAGATGCAGGCATATCAGCCCCCCCAGAAGGCAGCACCAAGGGCAGCTTCAGGGGCGCCGCGCAGCCAGCCAGCCACTGCAGCAACGGCGCCGACGGCTACAGAGCCCGATGGCCCACGCACCGCCTGGCACAGTGGCCTGCGGACTGAGGGGCAAGAGGGCCCAACGGCGGCGGCCATCACTGCGATGACGGAGCAGATGAGAGCCGTGCAGGCCCAGCAGCAAGCCATCCAGGAGCACCTCTCGAGGATGCAGACGGGCCAGAACTTCCACGCCTTCGCCCTGGCCAGGGTATTGGGAGTCGGCATCGGTGCAGCAGCAGGCGATGTGCTCATGGGTGCGCAGACGATCCAGAATGCACAGCGGGCGGTGATCTCGGGACTCTCGATCCCCAGCGCGAGCCCCCCTGATCCCAAGGGGTTGGCGCCAGAGCGCACGCAGAGGGACGTCGCCCCCACGGCGCCAGGTTTTGGCGCAGCCCCCCCTGGTGCAGCGCCAGCCACGGGGCCGAGGGCGCCTACGCAGCGCAGAGCGAGCTCGCTAGAGCCCCCCGTGGCAAAGACACCGCCGCCGAAGAGACAGTCGGCATCGCCGAAGCCAGCCAGGGCCCCCTGCATTGGCGTCTCAGCCGAGACCAGGGCCCAGGCCGAGGAGAAGGCAGTTCCAGACACACCGAGGGTGAAAGGCGTGTCCAGGGTGACAGCAGAGCTGCAGAGGAGCGAGCCCAAGGAGGAGGTCTTGCCGATAGATCCAGAGCTACTGATCGCGACGCAGCCAATGGTGATGGAGGAGATGATACCAGGGCCAGCGCACATCTTGCAGCACATCCAGGGGGCCTCCATCGACCTGATCAGTCAGACGCAGCGCTCCCCCACACCACCGCCGGCGCAGAGGTCGCCTGGATCGCCAGTGGATCCTCCGCAGCCAGTGCCCGCGGCGCTGTTCCCCCCTGCGTGGGCAGCAGCAGCATCAGCGGCCGCAACATCTTCAACGGCAGCATCGTCAGCATCTCACGCGCAGGCAGCGACCTCATCGGGACTGACGGCAGCGCCTGCGGCATCAGCAGCGGATGCACCTCCTGCGGCTTCGAGGACCCGACCGCTAGGAGGAGGAGGACAAAGAGAAGGACATGGGAGACTCGCCCAACAGGTCCCCCCCCCCCCCAAGAAGATGCAGTGCCAGGGTTACGAGCTGGAAGACGGGTCCAACTTGTAAGGCCTAGCAGGGTCTCGTGGGGCCCAGTCGAAGTGAATCGCTTTGAAGCGCATGCACCTATAATTGTCCGACAAGCCAGGGACACGCTTTCTCGGACCTGTTTCACTAGGCCGATTCTTAGGTCGGCCCATGTCTCGGATATCTCGGCCAAGGGTTGTGGTCTTGGGAATTCGCAGTCAGGCAATATTTCCTCGGCAGCCACTTCAGGTGATGCCACTGAGGACTCATCATCAGCTTCCACTCGGTCCAACGGCCGAACGAGGTATCGCTTGCGGGGCAAGACCTCGAAGGAACATCTTTTCTTGCCTCGTCCTCGCGAATTACAGCATGCTGCGCATGAGGTGCGAGGACGCGAGGCCAATCAAACGTCAATTACAGTTGCGGAGGTGACTGTCCCCCCCCACCGCCGTCGCACCCCGCTCCAGCCAGGGAGCAGCTCGAAGCAGTTGCAGGGGGGAGTGTGATGGCGCTGAGGGGGGATGGTGGGTATACTACTTCCCTGCGTCTGTTCCCCTTACCTTTCCAGTATCCTGAGAGCAATGGCAGTGGGCGCTGTGGTTTTCAGGAAGCGGACAGGATGTATCAGGTTTACTCAAGAACATCAACTGGTTTGAGCTTTGCAATGACGATTTTGGAGATATCCCCTTACATCACACTGCCAAGTTTGCTCTGGATATCTCTGCGCGCGGGGCACATAGAGCGAGATCAGTACATATCTATGTCGACGCCTCGTACAGAAAGACGCTCAGGGATTCAGCCTGGGCCTTCGCTGCTGTCGCGGTCTCGCCTGACGACGCGGTGAGCTTCCTGGGGTGGCAAAAAATGAGCGCATGGGAATCCACAGCAATGCAATTCGAAAGGGACGACGTCACTAGCACGACTATCGAGCTCATGGGGACATTGTGGAGCTCACTCTGGATCTTGGGTTTCTTGGGGCCGAACACGGTGCACTCCCCCCCAGCTCTGGTCATTTTTTTGCGATAACCAGTCTGCTGTCAACATATCCTTGGGTTTGGAGGTCCCGTCGGAGAACCAACGCCTGGCCTGGCTTACATACCATGTATGTCAGTGTGCGCGCAGGAGGCACGGCACTTTGCTTTTGCATGTATGTGGTCACTCTGGGTATCCATGGAATGAGTTGGCAGACAGTCTTGCACGGTCGGACCGAGCGGCTGGGTGCTCACCCCCGCCGGCCTTACGCGAGGCACTCAGGTACACGAACGACCTCGAATGGTGGTGGTTAAAGGAGGCACCTATGGCCACAAGAGAAGCGTATCCAATAGGCCCCGACAACACCTTTCGGTATCCTGGGCGCCCTCAAGCGTCGGTGGAGACGCTAAGGGATACTGTGGGATCCCAACCCTCGCAGAAGACGGCCCCCAAGTCCTGCCAGTTCAGCATCAGCGCGAGGCTTGCCACCTTCAACGCCAAGACAGGCAGGGGCGCGGAGGCCACGGCGGCAAGACGCGCCAAAACGTCGGGAGAGGTTCTCAGGTTGCAGTTTGCTCAGGAACAGTGCCACATCGTTGGGGTACAGGAGGCGAGAAATCCGTCGGGGGAAAGGTGTTCTGCTGGAAACTTTGTGCTTTCTTCGGGATCCGACGGTGGCAAGAACTTGGGCGTTGAACTTTGGGTCTCCCTGCACCTACCCTACGGGCGACGTGGGGGCGAGGAGCTATATTTTGAACAGAAACATTTTAGGCCGTTGTACGCTACCCAGAGGCACCTGGTGGTTGGCTGTTGCGCCCCACTCTTTAGGAAGGTCATCCTGGTTGCCCATGCGCTGCACAACGGAGACGAGTATACCTCGCAGCAGAGGAAACAGTGGTGGCGGGACCTCATAGGGATCTGCCATAAATGGAAAGTACAGCTGGCCTTCCTGGACGCGAATGTCAGGCTTGGCAGCATTGTGTCTGAAGCAGTGGGAAGCGAAGGGTTCAGGCAGGACGAGGACGAATCGGGCGGGCTGTTTCATGACATGCTCTTGGAGACGGGCTTAGCCGCGGCCAACACGTTAGTCCCCTCTCTCAGCCAGGACTCGTACACGTTCGTCTCGTCGAAGTCTGAAACACCACACAGAATAGACTACATTGCGGTTGAGCAGAATCTGATTCCCGCATTGGGACAACATCAGGTACGGTATGATAGTGTTTCCTTTTGCACTGGCAAGGATCATTATCCCGTCTTCATGCGCTTCGAGTCCCAGGGCTCCACCAAAGTAGCGCAACAACAGAGCGGCTACGACGCTATGGGCACCCAGGACCCTGATAAGGCAGCAGCCTTCAGGATGCACCTGGCAGCGTTTCCCACGGTGCCCCACCAGGTCGACATGAATCAGCACTTGCACGACATTATTCAATACATGTACGTGGGTGC